CGTTAGGAATAATTGTTAAAAATTTCAAAATACTAAGAAACAGGGTGAAATTTAACCAATATTCTGACAAAAAAAGGAATTATACTATTCTTAGTCCAAGTCCCTAATGCTACCATCCTCCTAGAAGGATAGGCATACTGAGGAAATGGAACATCAGGATCATGTATAAAGTAATACTAGCGCTTTCCTCGGTCATGACCTCATTTCGAGAATCTTTAGACGCCCTCTGCAGATCAGGTTACTATAAGGTTTTGTCCTCGTGGTAGTGTCTATGTGGGGAAACTTGTCGACTTATTCATAAGATATGCGAAGAAAATTTGGGTTTCGAGGACTCTCTTGTTTCATAATTGTTGAGCTTACTTTCATTTCGAGTGAAAGTGTTGGGTTAAGAGATTGGAAGGTCGGTTCCACCAGAAGAGACGGCGGATTCCTCTTGACCAGCTGTCGATTGGCTTTACTGGAAGATTCACGCTGACGCTGCTCCCGAGGTAATCTCCTTTAATTCCTGTGAAAAAGTGCAAAGCTTCCGTTCGTCATGCGATGAACATCATCAAAGTAAGGTATCATTGTCACAACCAAATTCAAGCTAACGAGTCAAGCCAGATTTAGGGTATATATACCGCTTTTTAGGAATTTTCTTGACTCATTAGCTTGAATTTTGTTGTGACGATGATACCTTGCTCTGATGATGTTTGTCATATGACGGACGAAAGCCTAACACCTTTTTACCGAAATCGAAGGAGCTTACATCAAAAACAGCGTCAGCATGGATCTTCCAGTAAAGCCAATCAAAAGCTGGTCAAGAGTAATCCGCCGTCGTCTTCTGGTCGAACCGATCTTCAAATCTCTTCACCCAACACTCTTACTCGATATGAAAGTAAGCTCAGCAATTATTCATAAAAGGCTATCAGAACACAAAACCGCCCAGAAAGGTTTATGAATTCAGAAATTAGAAGTAGCCAAGCATATGATAACTACAAGACACCAGATATTAGTCGAAAATTCAACGATTGCCGGATATCGGAACTTCACAGCTAAGCGGAAGATCAAGGATTAGACTAAAATTAACATAATAAAGAACATCCTGAATAGGAGGAACGAGTGTAGGAAACGAAGTGATAACTATATCTGGCTGCAGAATGAAATCAGTGAGAGAAAAATAGAGAAAATAAATGTGAAGAGCCACCAAATGAGACCTGACTAACCTGACATCTGGTTTGGCACCCAAATTTGCCAATCAACTCGTGAATGTTGAATGCATCCAACGCACACGCGCCTATGGAGCTTAAACAAGTCCCGGGAGTGTTAGAGCATAGAAAAAAAAAAGTTGTGACCATATCCGCTTCCCTTCTTGCGTCAACTTCACTCATATACATGCATACAGGACAAGCTTAATGTAGCCACCCAAATCATGGAATGTCCCATTAAGATCACAAAGTGAGGTATAACAAGTAAGTAGAATTTCAACCAGCCACCTTTCTTGGTTTAATGTTTTTGGATGATTGTTCGTAAATAATAGTTCGAGCTCTGATGATGTCCACAGAATGACGGACGAAAGCTCAGCATGAAATCTTAGGGATCGCAGGACGGTGAGTGATATCTTCTCTACCCAATATAAAAGTCGAAAGCAACTCTCCTTAGGTATCCGTTGGGGCCGTTTTAAGAATCCCTTCCACCTATCTTTTCAATAGAACTGAAACGTATGCCAGCATCGATTTAGGGAGTTAAAAAAAGGCTCATAGCTAAATAGATGCTTAAAAAACAAAAGTTAATTATTAATTAATAATGGATTATCCTTTGTTAGAAAGTCGTAGGTAAATGTATATATTTTAACTGATAAAAACTAATAAAAGTGAGGACCCATCAAATTGTATAGTATAAAGGTTAAGATAAGTAATGAATATGTTAGATCTTCTTATCATTATAGGAATTCGTGAAGAAAGAAGAAAGTTGATTTGGCACTTACTCAGGAGTATAGTGGAAAGAAACATTTTTGAACTCAATACGTCCAGTAGTAATTTTAAGATCAGATGCATCAGGTACATCCTGAATCTCTACCTTCTCGTCCAGCAGATCAAACATGTTCTCCATGTCGATAAAACTGGTTTGTAGCATTCTAAAAATATGTGGAAATCATTGTACCCGACCGGTTAAAAAAAATAATATTAAAAAATACATTATCCATTTGGGAAAATGAAATCAAGGCATAGATAAAACGTCAATTATATCAAAAACCATCTTATAAATATTTGGCATAGGACAACGCGCATCTCATACTAAGATTTGCATTAAAAATTGAATAAAAAAACAAACAAGAAAAATGATTTAAATTGATTGACCAGCATAAAAATGGTACACCAGCAAAACTACATGAAAAATTCTCTTCTGGAGTTCATCGATAGATTGTGGGAAATGAATAGCTTTAAAAGTACACAAAGCTAAATGCAAATGCAAAACAAGAAATAGCAAACACAGAAATTGATGGTATGTAAGCTGAGACTGAAAGAATTACATATAATGACATATACAAGTTAGCATTATAAATAGCTACCTATCGTAAACTTAAGATGAGGTCAGTTTTAATGCAGGGTAAAGGCAAATGTTGCTAATAGGAAATATGGCGGTATTCGAATAGTTAAAGTATACATCATTTTATAAGTGTGATACGATTTCAAATCTAAGTTAGGTTGCAAATACCAAATCATTAATTTCAAGGAAGACCAGGCATTTTCCATATCATATTCTGGGCTTATTAGGCCTAGGGGAAGTCAAAACCACAGTCCATCCTAAATAAGAATACCTTTTTGAAGGTAAGGCTGCGTAAAATCCACTTGAAATGCAAGGTCTACTCATATCATTTTGGCAAAATCAACTACCAGTCCTTCATCACCTTAAACTAAATAGGATGAGCGCAATGCATACTATTTCTGAATGTCTTAGTAAGCAAATAAAGGAATCAGTTGGCTGGTGATCTACTTAAGAAGCCCATATACATGAGTTTCTTGATTAATAATTTGTCTAAGCATGCATATGGGGTCAGAGTATGAATTATTAAATGGATGATAATAAGAAGTCTGTGCTTAGCAGATGTAAATCAATGAGAGAAAGAAATCAGTGTACTGATGCATATATTATCCACCAGGAGTAGTAGATAATTCTCATGAAGGCGATTAAAGAAAATAGCTATTTAGGATAGGCCAAGCAGAATGATCCCTCTGATGTTGCCGGCCTTTTGGCTTCAATAAAGCTATGTGGACTACTGAGGAAGTGGAACATTATAACAATAAATAAGAGGAAACTAACACTTTCTTCTGTTATGACTTCCTTTATATTATTTTTGTACCCCCTTTTATATCAGAATGCCACAATGTTATGTGCTTATGTGGAAAGTCTATGTAGCGGAGACCTGCTGACCTATAAGAAAAAGGTTGCCATAACAAAAAACCCCTTTACAAAAGCTACAGATCCAAAAATTTTAATTGGCCTGAAACGGTTAATAAAGAACACGAAATGTCCCGAAGCACCGATGAACAGGAGAATATTTGAAGAAAAGTTAAATAGTCTCACATGACTCAAGCATTGAATACATACAAAACACGATATCATATGCCTATGCATACGTCAACATTAAATGATCATGAGCAAGTTCAGTTTTGTCAAGAAACAACTTCAACTACATCCAGTTCCTTTTCATGAATCAAGATCACTTATCTGCAAGCTATTAGAATGATCACGGAGTCCAATCAAATACTAGGTATAAATCGTAAATAGGTTTTCAGCCAGCCAACTTTTCTCTCGGCTTAGAACATGGCTGCCATTTTTCGTAAACTATGGTTTCCCAGTCTTACGGCGCCTGCCATATAGCAGAAAGCTCAGTCCACATTCGTCTAGATCGCAGGACGGTGAGCCGAGGACTTCTTCGCATAATTAGCATTCACATTCTATGGCAATCCTTCTTCGGTCTACAGTGAGACCATTTCACGAATTTCTTCCAAACAATTTTTTCTTTGAAATGTAAAATCATGTCACAATAAATCACTAAGGAGTTTCTCGAGATCCAATTCTATCAATTTCCGATTAAGCCAATTCCTGAATACTTTTCTAATCTAAGTTGTTTATTGCCAATATTCTTAACATTTAAAGGACGCCCTAACAACTTGCAATAAATAGTTTCTTTAATTTTGCGTTTTGAGGTATGCTGGAGTCCGTAAACCAAAGAGTCTTAGACCACTTTTTAATGTCCAGTTTCTGCCATCTGCTTTCCAACTTCTGATCTATGGTTAAAACATCCCCTACAAGCCTTTATATATTCCGCCAATCCTTGAACAGTGAAAAGAAATGTGGGACCACGCTTATCCGGAAATTATATCCAAAGCAAAGTGCCCCAACTATGGTGTTAAGTCCGCATGTAAAGGACTACCCTTGCCCCATAGCAGCAAAATGAATTTGCCGGACGGACTTCTTCGTGTTGTGCATTCACACATCCTATCATGGCGTCTCTTCTGCGTGGCTGCACTACTCCAACATGTCTCCTTGGTTGCCTCTATCCTGGAGATATTCTCCTATTCAGCCTCATTGCCAGCTGTCATAGATACAAACTACCACCCAGTTATGTACACCCACTGATTAGTATATAAGAAAGTGTACCTCAGGAATTAGCATGACACAAGATAGTGAATTCCCAAAGTGAATGACTATGACATTCATATTTCATGTTGAATAATGTGAAAGTATGGTAATAACATTCATTTGTCAGGTGAAAAATTTCTGGAGATAAATTACCTGCTTGAGAGCCTAGAAAATGTAATTACTGCATTTGAATGGGATAAGGTAGAGGTACATAATTTATTACTAAAGGGGTTATAATCTAGTAGGAGATTAAATATGATCGTAGATAGGAGGATCAAGATAGTGCCTTAGGTTAAGTCGCACTTCCTTAGCTGTATAGTGTTGGCTTGACCTCGTTTTCGCAACTTGATCGGAGCGATAGGAAGACCTTATGGCATGTAGCAGGTCCCACATCCTAGTGATAGTATTCAAGATAATTTCCAGCATTGAGCCGGGACTACGTACGCTCCTAGAAATTTCGCAGGCATTATCAAAGAGACATCATCCTTAGAACAAGGTTACAACTTATCAAAGTGACAAGTGAAATGAAGTGACAAATTTTCTGTTAAACCGTTATGGCATCCCTCCTAACTTATACTAGTTCCTGGCGCTGCATTCCTACCTCTTAAGCCCATTTCATATGGCCCACTTACTTAATCACATCAAATTGTGTCTTTGTTTTCTCCAATTTGGCCCTGGAGTGAAACTTTGAGTGGATTTAGTTAGACATAATCATGTCCACCACCAGTTTCTGATGTAGATCGCAGGACTCCCGTAACTCAATCCGCGCTTTCATTGAGCCCATCTCAATCCCGCTTGTCAGTATAGATAAATTTTAAAAAATTAAATAACGGCCTAAAATCTTTTTGAGAAAACATTTAGTAAAATTATATACTATATCCATTCAAAAAATGAAAACAGAGAAGGATAATAACAGAAAAAATATTTAACCTAAAGCTGATTGACAAAACAAGGCGATTCCCACCACAAAGGGGCCGCAATGATTCAGATTGAATAATTAAATGTAATCGGCAAGTCGTAAAAATGATAAAACGAGCCAATAGGAAAGTGTAATTAACACCAAATTGTGAATCGAATGTGACTTGATAGGCAAACTCCAGTAACAGAATACCACTATAATATTAGAGATAATTCCTGAATGCAATTGGTATAGTTTTGGGATGGAATTACCGTTTGAAGTGAGCCAATTTGTATTACTATCACAACAAGATAAAAGCATGAACAGAAAAATGCAAATAAAACTTACCTATAGTAGGTGCCAAAAAAGTTCAGAGGCCGATAAAGTTGATCCAAATAGGTGAAAAACAATACAAAATCGCCGACCGTTAGGACACCACGGACGACATCATAGGCAATCAACAAGCAGCCTATTAGCATACCAGCACTAATAATTAAATTTTGGACTAAATTGAGCAAATTGAGGGTCGAATTTGATATCCAGTCAGCCTTTTGGCATTTGATCATAGCAAGCCGATATCGCTTGCATTCTGCCTCTTCGGCATTATAATATTTCACCTGGTCCAAAGAAAGATCAAAATTAAATAAATGTATAAGTGGCTTGCAGTTGTATAAATGAAAATGAATTTACTTGCGTGATTATAATCTATATTTTGGTTAAGGGCTTATTTATTATAAAGCCCCACTGACGTCGATCCTAAAGAAATATTCTAGTAATATTATAATCAACGCCTTGTGATTCCTCGCGTTTGTTCATAAAACTTATCGTCAAAGGTGAAATAAGTGTTACTCATAGATAGGTTAAGAAGCCTTAGGATGAAGGATATAATTAACTTAATTCTACTCATAATGTCGGGATGCTCCTCCAGGATGAGTATACGAGCCTAAATGACCCTCTGAACTGGAACATTCGTGAAAAGGAAGGGAAAGCATTACCGAACTGATCATAACACAAGCCCGTCTAAGACAAACATTTATCCAGATTTTGAATAGACTTTCTCAAGTTACAAAACATGAATGGCGGTTTGGGTGAAGCAATCTTAAGATGATTTGGTGGGTTCATGAGAAGAAGTTCAAAAACTTGGGCATCAGGATCCGTTAGAGAGACTTTGTACCTAAATTAAAGATTAATAAAGGCACTAATGCTCATCCTGGAAGAGAAGCCAGAAATAATGAAGGGAATTAAGTTTAGTATAGCCTTTATTCAAAGGTTTCTTAATCTATCCATGGGTAATACTTATTTCACCTTTGATGATAAGTTTTATTAACAGAAGAAAGGACTCGCAATAGGTTCTAACACAGCTTCAATTTTGGTGATTAACAACACTGCAAAAGTTGAGGAGTGTAAATGTAAGAGGTAATTCACTGGTAGGCAGTTTGTTAGATAGATAGAGGATTATTTTGTGGTTTGGCAGCATGGTAAGGACAGTTTTGATAGTTCCTACTTTCCCTTAACCAGAGTGAAAAAAATATTAAGTTCGCAATGGAATTAGAAAAGAATAAGATATTAACTTTGCTGGATGTTATGGTTATTAGGAAAGATGGTTAGGCAGAGATATTTAGAGGAAACCAGTATATGTTGGTTTTGTTCTTACTTTTCTTTCTAACCCCAGTTACAAAACTAAGGCTAGCACTTTTAAATCTACAAATGTTGGGAGCATGAGGTCTGCGGACGAAAATCATCTGACCGAAGCGTTAAGAAAATTCAAACATGAATTCCTGAAAAATACTTATACCTAAAGCCTAATTGATAATAATATCTCTTTAATGAGAAATGAATTTTCAGACGGATACTATTTGGTCAGAGATAGGCAAAATAAGACCCTTTCTCATGTCTTAATCTTGTTGCCATGCCTGCTTTGTAAGATAGGCGAACTAGTGAGGAAATGGGGGGTAGAAACAGTTTCCAATAAAATTTTGACACTTTCTTCGGTTATGTCTTCTTTAAGGTAGATATATGACCCATAATCAAGACCCGGCTGTTACAGGATGTTGTACTCCTATGGCCGACCCTGTGTTGATAAGATATGTCGGCCTTCCGCCAAAGACTGGGGGAGCACAAGAATGCTTGTAAGGAGAAATGGGTCGAATGATCAGAAGTGACTTAGCACAGGGCTGTAAGTGGACAAGAGATATAATGATATCAGATGCAAGGTTTGCTATAGTGAACTAATTGTCCTGTATAATCCACTCATTAACAAGTCACCCTTCCAGACTCTCTTTGCTAAGCTACCAGATTGAACGACCAGTCCTTCAACACCTTAAACTAAATAGGGTGAATACTGTTCTTATATGAGATCGACTGGTAGTCTGTAAAATCTATTGATAAACGAAAAAATAAGTAATGTAGTCAATTGTAATCGCAAATAAAACTTTGCTTCATCGGAATTCCCATTACAGAAATGTGATGTGAGAAAGCCTAGGCTCCCTTGAAATCTATTTCTGCCCAGCGACCCGAGGGACTGTGGCGTAGTGGAGCTTTGAGAAACAAGGCTATATGAAATTCAATTAAAACATAAAGCCAAATCATATCATTTTGGGAAAATTCAATAACCAGTCTTTTAATGCCCTAGACGAAACAGGGTAAATACCGTTCCTATAATATACATCAATACTACATCAAAAGACAAGGCCAAAAAAGGAATACTATTGGAGAAAAGGTGAACAGGTGAATGGAATGGATTCGTAAGTTGGCCTCATTGGAAGCTGTAGGGGGATTGCTTTGGAGCTGTGATTGTATATTTGTGCGAATAGGTCTTCGGTTCACTGCTCTGCGATTGTCTGATGGATCCTTACGGAGCATTCGTTTGACAGGAGACGGACATCGTCAGAGCAAGACACCAAGCTTAACGATAATTCACCAAAATACTAAGCAAAGTGACCGGCTTCAAATCTACCCATTTATAGAGCCGGATAGTCTTCCTGGCCTAGTTATAACGTGAGATTAAGAAAAAGAATTCCAGCTGATGGATGAAAGGTTAGTCAGTTTTTCCCCTGATACCAGATAGGATGTCTTGTGGACTGCGTCAACTTGAACGTTGTATTAAAGCCAGAGGCAGTACAACAGGAATCAGCCATGATTTTCTAATGAGATCATCCTACGAATCTCTTGTTCATGCATTTTCACACGAAATGAAAGTCTCCCCAACAATTCCTATAGTCCAACTTGGTCTCTTTAATAAAGCATATCATGATTTGGTTGGATATCCTAGGCTTGCCTAAATGTTTGCTGAAAAGTGAAATGGCTGCGGATGACATATAAATTAGCTGCAAATGTAACTTGAAATGTATGTAATTGTGACCGAATAGCTGCACCCTCCCCTAAAACATTTATATTTTTTACCCTGCAATGTTGGCGCACGCGATTGCTCTCCATTGCACTCGTGCTGTGTGAATGTATTTCTCTTGAGATTCGTGAGATGTAAGAGCCAACACCAGATTCGAGCCTAATCAAACTGCCCCCTCTTGCTCGGTGATACCTCTCGCTCCCCTAGTCTCTAATCCTATCCAACAGCCACAAGTAGCTAAGACTTAATTTCCTACACTCAATTCTTCTATTAATTGCATTGGCTGGTTTGTTGCTTTCTATAGCTTCCCTGAACTGTCGTTTACCTGTATAGTCCGCATATCCAGCTAAGCGTTTGGCATTAGACTAGTGTTCTATGCGAGCCATGTGTTCGGCCAATTCCAATTTTTGGACCTGAAAACCCTAGCAGACTGTTTTGTGTTCAGATAACCTCTTATATATGGGCCTGCAGGTCTCTCCCACATAGGCGCCACCGCACAAACATAAAAGTTTATAACAGCCCGATCTGGAAAGAGCAAAGGTTTCTTAAAATAGGACACTTCCGAGGAAAGAGTTATCTGGGTCTTATCAGCACCCCTAATTGGAAATTATTCCGGTCAGGACAGTGTATATTTTCAAAATGCTACTATTGGGCCACCCTGTGACAAGTGCCTGCGGGTCACGGAGCTGACGTAACTTTCAAGACAGGCCAGGCTTCACCAATATCACAAGGGTAAGACTATCAATAAAGCAAATACGAACTTTACATTAAAATCTACGATGTTACCTAAATTAACACTAAGTAGGTTTCAAGACTAAGTAGATCTCTAAAAAAAAGCTATATTGGATTTGGCAAAAATGAACATATTATTTAAACAGAATAAAAAAACATAAGTATAACGAGTGGTTGCCTACTGTCTCGAAGTTAAGCAAGGAATCAACAGCTTTTGCAGTTCGTGCATTTTCCAATTGATTCAGCGAACGTCGAAATTGGTTTCTCCAATCCGTTAGCAAAATAGTGAAAACTAAGATAAAAAGTTGAAAATAAAAGTAAGCGGTAGTCTCGAAACTATACTTATGAACGAAAAATAAACGCGTTTGACGTACACATGTATATATTAAGGATCTGATAAGATGAGATTCAGTGCTAACCAATAGCATATACGTACCAAAAATCACCACATGAAGTTTTAACTTTAATGAAGCATCCCGAGTATCAGTTTGCATAATCGCCTGTCTATTCGGTAGGTAAATGTTGATTATCAACGAAAACGCATGAACTCCGGTCATAATTTCTAGTATTATTATATTTTTTGATGGCGTAAGCTAACTAAATGGAAAAGACTGGGTAAGCTTAGTCTCGGAAGTCAAATTTATCCTCGTAAGTGCAACAAAAGTATACCCAATTTTTGTGCTTCGCAGTATTGCCGTCTTGTGGAGATTAATGATAAAAGGATGCAGCATTAACCAGAAGATAAGGCGAATGTCCTTTAGTCTAATATAGTCTGATATTGCTGTGACGTTCAGGAAGACGCAGTTCTAGATAAGCACGTGAAAATATGCCGAGCTTTTGTATATTATGCCGCTAGACAGACATAATCAATTATTTCGCGACATTCCAATGTCCTAGTCGTTGCCACGATCGCCCCAATTTCCATCTAAGCGTGACCTAACAACGAAACAAGCGAGGATATTGATAATTCAGAATTTTTTCTCGTACTGTGACATACCAGGTCCTTTACTTCCAGAGACGCATCCATATGTTGATCTAATGACTGGCCTTTGCCTAATGCCGGAGAAATAAAAAAAGCGTGTAGTCCCAAAGATCGAAGAGGCACCTCGGGATCAGGAGATAAAAAGTTTATCAAAGAGCACGACTAAAAGCTGTAAATTGAATTAAAATAGTTCCAAAAATATAGGCAACTAATCGCAGGTGGCAAAGTTGCGAGTCGGGTAACTTTAAGAAAACCTGCCGTAAATTGACAGTATTCTGGCCAAGTTTGGAAAGATCCTAAAAGAATGTGAGCTAGACTAAGTCAATTAATAACAGAACTTAGTATG